GAGCTGTTTGTATATTCTGGAATTAAACTGTGTCACTTTCATCATGTATCATTTTTGCAAATATTTTCTCTCAGTCCATAGGTTTTCTTCTCATTTTGTTTATAGTTTCCTTTGCTGTGCAAAAGATTAGACGTTTAATTAGGTCCTATTTGTTTATTTTTGCTTTTATTTCTATTGTCTGGGTAGACTGCCCTAGGAGAACACTGCTAAGATTTATGTCAGAGAATATTTTGCCTTTGTTTTCTTCTAGGAGGTTTATAGTGTCTTGTCTTACATTTAAGTCTTTAGCCATTTAGAGTTTATTTTTGTGTATGGAGTGAGAGTGTTCTAACTTCATTGATTTACATGCAGCTGTCCAGCTTTCCCAACACCACTTGCTGAAGGGACTGTCTTTACTGCATTGTATATTCTCACCTCCTTTGTCGGAGATTAATTGATTGTAGGTGTGTGTGTTTATTTTTGGGCCCTCTATTATGTTCCATTGATCCATGTATCTGTTTTTATCTGATACCATGCTGTTTTAATTACTGTAGCTTGTAGTATTGTGTGAAGTCTGGGAGGGTTATTCCTCCAGCTTTGTTCTTTTTCTTCAGTATTGCTCTGGCAATTCTGGATCTTTTGTGGTTTCATGTAAATTTTCGGATTATTTGTTCTAGTTTTGTGAAAATTATCCTGGGTAATTTGATAGAGATCATATTAAATCTAGATTGCTTTGGGCGCTATGGCCATTTTAACAATATTAATTCTTTTAATCCATGAGCATGGGATATCTTTCCATTTCTTCTGGGTACTTTTGAACTGAAACCAGATTATTAGGCCACCATGTAGCCCTAAATCCTCTTTCCTCTTTTCTCCTCCACCCAGATGGGTGACTCACATTCTTTCTAGCACAAGCGTAACATACAAATATACCAGTTATACACATCTTCCTCACTTCATGCCCCCATTTCAAACAATAGATTATTGTTTTCCCTGGGCTTTGCCAGATTTGGGAAAAAAAATTTAAAGAGACTTTATTTTTTCCCTTTATACTCATAACAAGAAGGAAAATAGAACAATTTCTTCACTGAAGCCAAAAAGTATGTGAATTTCCTGTGTACCCTTTTGTATGTGTGTGTGTGTGTGTGTGTGTGTGTGTGTGTGTGTGTGTGTATTAATGCTATAAGGATGGTAGCTTGTGTCACAAGAGACCACTGGATACAAGTTAACAGCATTTAGCAGTTTTATTAGCAATATAGAAATTTACACTATTTCATTTTGTTACAGATCATTTGCAGTATTCAAGTGTTTGACATACTGCTTATGATTTAACCAGCTAGATGAATATTTGTTGTAACCAAAATTTAGTAGATCTGATTCAAGGGAAGAAACTATTAAATAGGTAGTCATTTGAAATCAATAATTGCTTGATTTCAGATATCTTAAACAACAGAAACTCATATGAATGTTGAATTTCTCAGAGAGCCATGAACTTACCCCTCTAGACTAAAAATGGAAGGAACAAGGAGAGGGAGGGAGAAAGAAGGGGAGAGAGAAGGAAGGCAGGCAGGGAGTCAGGCAGGCAGGCATGTTCTTTGAGTGGTGGCTTTATTTAATAAAAAATAATTCTTCTGTAATGTTATCCTATAATGTTCATGAGATAGCACTTCCTACATTTTATTATCATCGTCTCCTTAATCGTTCATCCTAACTCAGTTCTGAAGTTTGTATAGGCAGGGATCATGTCTTTCTTGCTTAGTATTGTAATCCCTAGCACAATGTTTGGCATAGAGAAAAAAATATATATATATTTCCCTCTATATGTGTAGAGATATATATGTATAGATTTTCAAATAATGACATCAACTTTTTATTAAGGTATAGTTGATGTACAATATTATAAAAGTTTCAGGTATAAAATGTAGTGATTCACAATTTTCAAAGGTTATATTCCACTTATAGTTATAAAATATTGACTATATTTCCTGTGCTGAACAGCATATCCTTGTCACTTATTTATTTTATACATTGTAGTTTGTACCTCTTAATTCACAACTTCTTTCTTGTCCCTTCCCCTTTTCCTCTCCCTACTGGTAACTACTAATTTATCTGTGAATCTGTTTCTTTTTTGTTATATTCACTAGTTTGCTTTATTTTTTAGATTCCACATATAAATGCTATCATACAGTATTTGCCTTTCTTTGACTTATTTCACTTAGCATAATACCCTCCAAGTTCCATCCATATTGTTGCAAATGGCACTGTTTCATTCTTTTTATGGCCAAGTAGTATTCCACTATGTATATCTATATACACATATGTATATATTAGGTGGTTAGAGTTGGCCACTAATAAATATTTTGAAATGTCATTCACTGAGCTATCATTAAACAAATACTTGCTGAGAATGCACTGCATGCCAGGTACTTGGTCCTGGGAATACCAGCGAAGTTCTTGCTTTACAGAACTTACATTCTGGGGGCAAGACAGAAAATAGACAAAAAAAATCAATGTCATTGATATCAGTGAGGGCTATGAGACAAAAATTAAAGCAGGGTCAAGAGTAGAGAGTGAGGGGGTAAAGGCTAGACAGGGGCAGTCAAGGAGGACCTCTTTGAGGAGGTGATGTTTGAGCTGGGACCTGGCTAAAAAGGAGTAAAAGAGGGAGTCATGTGAGAACTGAGAGACCAGCAAGGGAAGAGCCCTGAGTGGAAGATGTCCTTGGCATCTCCAAAAATAGGAAGTCCCTGCAGTTTGAATGGGGCAGGTCATGTGGGGCCTTGAAGGCCATGGATAGGAGTCTGCAGTTTGTCTTGAGTAAGATTCAGAGTCATTGGAAAATTATGAGTGGAAAATAGATTTGATTCTAGTTTTATTTTTAGAAAGTTCACTCTGCAACTGTAGGGAGAATGGGTTATGGGGCTAGGAGTAGAAGACAGGCCACCATTTGGGAGATGAGAGTAGCTTAGATTAGGATTGTCATGGTGGAGGAGGGAGAAACAACAACGTTCAGGATCTATTTGAAAATGGAGTAGCGAAGACTTGCTGACGCCTTTAATGTTGGACATGAGAGATGATTCAACTGCATAACCAGTGGTTATAAATATTAAATATGTGTGGAATGAATTCTGAATGCTTACAACATTGCCAAATACAGAGGAAGTGCTGGTAAGTCTTAGCCAACAGCAAACATCCAAGCGAATGTGTTGAATGGATAATCGGCTGCTCAAGTCTGCTGCTCAAGGGAAAGGTTGGAGCTGGAGATGTAGTTTGGGAATTACAGGGCTACAGCTGGCATTTAAAACCACTGGACTAGGTGAAATCTTAAAGGGTGGTGAGTATAGAATGAGAAGGCTTTTCACAATAATCCAACATTTACGAACTGCTCAGGACATTATGTAAAGGCTTCTTACATGAATACATAGGACATGAGCATGGAAAGAGTCATTATTTATATCAATAAAATATTTTTTAAAATCCTATGTAAATTTTAAAAGAGAAATCTGAGTTTAAGATGGCAGTAGCTCTTGAATTATCATTTTAGGAGAGAGAATGCTGCCGTTTGGAAAGTGGTGTTTGGCATCAATAATCTGGATCACCCATCAACGTTCATGCAGACGCGCCTTGTGAAAACCATCATCCTGCACCCTCGCTACAGTCGAGCGGTGGTGGACTACGACATCAGCATTGTGGAGCTAAGCGAAGACATCAATGAAACAAGCCATGTCAGACCCGTCTGCTTACCCAGCCCGGAGCAGTCGTTAGAACCTGACACTTACTGCTATATCACAGGCTGGGGACACATGGGCAACAAAAGTAAGTCAGGATCCTCAGGAGCAATTGCCTTTCAGCTTGTAACTGGAAAACACTGGGGTACTTCCTAGTCTTTGGCAATAATTTCCTATTTTCACTTATCATACTTAGCGTATGTATCACCCTCCCTTCTGTGCAAATCCTAGACGTCAGCCCTTCCTAACGCACTTAAACTTACCAAGCCCAGATACAACCTCAAAAATCCCTCTCCATACCTCAGAATCTTTCTCCAGGGAGCCGCTACCAGTGTTTTGGAGCTGCCATGCAAGAAGAGACCTGTCAGTCATCCCTGCCTTGCAGCGTCTCCATCAGTGATTTAACCCCACTGTAGGCAAAGTCACTCAGAGCCTCCACCTAGCAGTTAGGTAGTTCTGCTCCTGCAGTCAAGCTGCATGGTCACATTTCCAGCTCTCTGTTATGATTTGGTCTTATCACCATCTGTAACACAACCTGGAAGTCCTTCTCGAAAGGAGGACTATTTAAATTGATTTGCCTATTAAAATTGATTTAAATAGCTTGATGATCTCAAAATACAAAACATACAGAGATTTAAAAAATGGGTGTACTGTTTATTCTCAGCCCCCATAAAGGACCCTCTCATTCTGCATGACCTATTAGAAGTTTAGCATAAGAATTTAATCAAGGAGACATTTTCTTTAATGGTAAGCACTGGCCACTCCATTTACATCAGGGTACTCCCGTGGCTCTTGGGAATGATGACAACTTGGGAAACTCCCGCTGTCTGCATTGCATTGATTTTTCCAAACGTGATTCTTCCAACAAGGTACCCTGTCCACAGACATTGCTTCACCATCACTAAAAGGAGAGCAGTGTGTATTTTGTAGAATGGCTAAACAACAAGAGATTCCTTCTGTCTTGCTTTGAGAAATCCACTGTTACTCTGTGAGGACTTTCGAGCAAGATGCAAGTTACATATTCTCTATGCTGACCCTAAGGGATGGCTTTTCCCTCTCAACATCTCTGATTTATCTTCTAGGGTAAAATGTCCTTACCTCAGAAGATGGTTACTGTAGCACGTGGTGAGACACAGCGTTTAAGCCAAGGATGGGGCAGCCCTTCCCCTGTTAGACTGAACAGGTGTTCTGAACTTGAGCAGAACCAGGCTTACATGCTGAGCTGTCACTAAGCTGGCAGCCTCTGGCCTGGGGCAGAGCTCCGCCTTAATTATCTACCTTTTCATTGTAGTAACCATTGTTTTGTTGCCACATAAGGAGAAAGGTGCGAGCCAGGTTACCTAAGCAGTTGTGTGCCTCAATTTTCTCATTTAACAAAATGAAGGGCTTTGAGTAAATGATGGCCGTCAGCACTTCTAATTGGAAAATTCTGATTCCAAACAAGCCTTGTCTTTAAAACGACATTTTAAAGTCAAGAATGTGGTTCTCCTGATGCAAACAATCATTTCATATATGGCTAGCCTCATTTTTGGGTTATTTTAGCCTCATTTATTTTATTTCTTCTTTTTAAAAACTCCAGTGCCTTTTAAGCTGCAAGAGGGAGAAGTCCGCATTATTCCCCTGGAGCAGTGTCAGTCCTACTTTGACATGAAGACCATCACCACCCGGATGATCTGTGCGGGCTATGAGTCTGGCACCATCGACTCGTGCATGGTAAGTTGCTTTCTGGTTACCAAGGAGATTCAGTTCAGTACTGGCTTCATTGGGTCCACTTAAACTCATTATTATTCATGTGTGGCCCTTTGGGATCATTTTTTGAAAATCATTTGTGACCAAATGTTTAATTGTTCACCAGGTGTTTTCCTTTACCCAGGACCCAGGTGATCCCCCAAACTACCTCCACATCCCCCACTCAGGTTGCCTTCTGCTTTCTCACCTCCTGCACGGGGTCAGCAACAGGAGGAAAAGCGATCGTTCTGGTCCATCTCATGGGACCATTTAAGCGGTAGGAGGAGCAGTATTCTGAGAGCAGGTGGTCTCTCACCTGCGGTCCCCATGGTTTTGCCCAGGCTGCCCAAGGAAGCGGGGGGTAGACACCAAGGACATATTCAACCACTGGGGTGAAGGCATTAAAGTGCATACAACACCCCAGCCTCCCAGGTGTGTGACACAACTACCTGTGTTCCAGGAGTTGATCACACTGGCATTGTCCGGGCCTGCACTTGATTGCTAGCGAGTCTTCAAATGTCACTGCACATGACCTTTCGACTCAGGATTTCAGGTCACAGTAGTTTGTAGAACATGCTAACTTAACAATTCAGGGAAGCATTTTTATTTTTACTTAATAAACACTCATTCAGTATTAGCCTGGACTGGTTCCCAGGGGAGAAGGGGCCAGCACTCAGAGCAGCCTGTAACAGAGTAGAGAAGGCAGTTACTACGCTACACTGCTCTGAAGCACCTTGGTTGTTTCACTGCTTTGGAGACGATCAAACTGCCTCCACGTTTTAGAATCGGAGAAGAGATGCAACAATGTTATTGCCCCTAATCCAGCATATAAAATGACATTTTGATGGGCCATTTCAAAATGGGCAAATTAAAGGATCAGAAATGGCCCAGAGGTGATTCTTTAGACAGTTGTCATGGGAAACAGGGAGGCAGACGGTGCCCTTGAAGTTTCATTGAGTCACTTTCCCTCCTGCTTCCACTGGCCACAAGTCATCCAGCTGAGGTGGGCAGCGGTAGGGGAATCCTAGCCTTCCACGCAAGGGGCCTAGGGTTGATAGCCCACGCCAAAAAAAAAAGAAAAAAAAAGTGTTCTGGGAGGCAGCACGATGTCGGGCTTAGGACACATGATTGGCAACCTGAAAGATCTGGGTTGGATCCCATCTCTGCCAGTAAGAACAGTGTGACCTGGAGAAGTTACTTAGCCTCTCTAGAAAGTTTTCTTCTGAGTAAGATGGTACTGATTCTGTTTTGCAGGGTGTTATGTAGATTAAGTTAATATATGTGAAAGTCCCAATTTTTTTTTTAACACAGCTGTATATGATGTCTGGCATATGCCTTCAATGAATATCAACATGTGAATGTTAACATCTATCAGCTGGTGCTTACTGTATTCCAGGACCTCTTCTAAATACTCTCTAATAACTCATTTAATTCTCAGTCATTATGCTCGTTTTTCCTACTTTACAGATCAAGAAGACAAAGGACTAGAGAGGTTAAGTAATTTACCCCATTATCACTCAGCATTAACGTGGCAGAATGCAGATATGAACCCAGGCAGTCTGGCTTCAGGATCCAAGTGCTTGGCCACTACACTATCCTAGTAGCAATGATTAATGTGAATACATTCCACCCTGTTGCCAACACGATCTGGAGGTCTACTAAAAACTAGTGCCTCTTCATCTCTTGATAATTGCTAATGGGAGGGGAAGAGATTCTTTGAAAGAGAAGTGAAGACCCAACATAGACATAGGAATGTTTATATCATAATCCCAAATAGGGATCCTGCCAACTTCCTTAGTGGTGGGAATTCAGCACTTTGGGTAGCTTTTTATTTATTATTAATTAATTGTTATTGAAGTATAGTCAGTTTACAATGTTATATCAATTTCTGGTGCACAGCACAGTATTTCAGTCATAATGAACATACATATATTTTCATCATAGGCTATTACAAGATATTGAATACAGGTCTCTGTGTTATACAGTATGAACTTGTTATTTATCTATTTTATATATAATAGTTAGTACTTGCAAATCTTGAACTCCCAGTTTATCCCCTCCTACCCCCTTCCTCCATGGCAACCATGTTTGTTCTCTATGTCTGTGAGTCTGTTTCTGTTTTGTAAATAAGTTCATTTGTTTTTTGTTTTTTAATTTAGGCTCCACATATAAGTGATATCATATGGTATTTTTCTTTCTCCTTCTGGCTTAACTTCACTTAGAATGACAATCTTCAGGTCCATTCATGTTGCTGGAAATGGCATTATTTTATTATTTTTTATGGCTGAGTAGTATTCCATTGTATAAATACACCACAACTTCTTTATCCAGTTATCTGTTGATGGACATTTAGGTTGTTTCCATGTCTTGGCTATTGTATATAGTGCTGCTATGAACACTGGGGAGCACGTATCTTTTTGAATTAAGGTTCCCTCTGGATATATGCCCAGGAGTGGGATTTCTGGATCATATGGTAAGTCTATTTTTAGTCTTTTGAGGAATCTCAAAAAAACTGTTTTCCATAATGGCTGCACCAGACTACATACCCACCAACAGTGTAGGAGGGCTCCCTTTTCTCCACACCCTCTCCAGCATTTATCATTAGTGGACTTTAGAATGATGGCCATTCTGACTGGTGTGAGATGATTCCTCATTGTAGTTTTGATTTGCAAGAGGGAGAAGTCTGCATTATTCCACTGGAGCAGTGTCAGTCCTACTTTGACATGAAGACCATCACCACCCAGATGATCTGTGCGGGCTATGAGTCTGATAGTTAGCAATATTGAGCATTTTTTTCATATGCCTATTGGCCATTTGTATGTCCTTATTGGAAAATTGCTTGTTTAGGTCTTCTGCCCATTTTTGGATTTGGTTTTTTTTTGTTACTAAGTTGTAAGAGCTGTTTGTATATTCTGGAAATTAAGCCTTATTAGTCTCATAATTTGCAAGTATTTCCTCTTAGTCTGTAGGTTTTCTTCTCATTTTGCTTATAGTTTCCTGTGCTGTGCAAAAGCTTTTTAAGT